GGGGCGGGGCCCGGCGTTCGGGGGCGGGGCCCAGGAGCTCCAAGCAAGCGAGACCTAAGAGTTCAAAGCATGCGACTGAGCATTCCGGGAGCGTGGCTTGGCGTTTTAATAGGAGGGATTCGCTGGCTCCTAGGGCGCCCCGCCCCCGGAGGCGTGACCGAAATCTGAGTCCGGGTCCTAGCTCGCCCCCTATGGGTTTCTCCCTTCTATCAGGTGTGGCGCCTTGTACCCTCCCAGCAGCCTCCCAGCCCCCCAGCCCTGGACAACCGCACAGCGACCCCATCTCCTTCTCCCTCGGGGACTCAGGAGTCCGGGCGCCCGTCCCCTGCCCTCCGGAGCCTCGTAGACTTGGCTCTGACCCCAATGTAGAGAGCGGCGCCCATGCCATCTCATCCAGGGACCCAGGAGTCGGGGCTCCTCGTCTCCGTCTCCAAACCAGGAGTCTGAGCCCTCAGCTCCTCCTGGGAGCTAGATTCCCGAACTCCAGCCTCCTCCGCCCCCGCAGACCCAGGAAGCCCAGCCTCCAGCCCCCTGCTGCCCGGCATCCCGACCCCCTCACCCGCTCAGGATTCGACGCGCTCCCCTCTGCACTCTGGGCGCTGTTGTTACTGCCTGCGAAACAGGTGGCTGGGCAGAGGGAGGAGAGAGGCTGCCGTCTCCCTCCCCGGAAGTTGGGGGGCGGGGGGGCACAACAGGTCCAACAGCTCCTGAGGGAGGAGGGAGCGACCAGCTTGCCCCGCCCGCAGCCACAGCACCGGGCATCCCGGCTCCGCCCTTGGAAAACCCAGCTTTGTGACCCCCCCAACCTGCCTCCAGCGCCCCCATTCCTGCCCTGGGAGGGCCAGGTGTCTTGATCACATTTGAATAAATGCCTCCCTAATGCCCAGACCCTGGGAATCCTGAAAGGAAGAAGGGAATGCAGATCGGGGCCTCTCCCCTCTAATGAGCCCTTTAGAAGGGCCCTGACCGGTTTGGGGAGCTGGGCAAGGGTAGGGGGTGCCCTGAGCTGAGTCAGAGACCCGCCCAGAAACAGGGGGAAGTGTGCCCCCTCCCCCCCCCAACTTTGCTATGGGGTGGAAGAGAGAGGTTAAAGGTGCATGGGCCAGACCCTTTCCTCTCTGGGCAAAAACAGGAAAATAACTGGTGTGTGAGAAAGTATGATTGGATGTCAGGAGTGTTAACGTAAAAAAAAAAACCATTGAAACCTGTAAAGAATTTTTTTGAGTTTATTTGAGCCAAACTGTCGACATATGCCGGGAAGCAGAACCTCAACGAATTAATATAGTGCTCCGGAGAATGGCGGGGTTACATTTGTATTTATACATTTCAATCAAAGGAGGGACATAGGTGGGTTACATGAAATTCATTGGTGATAGATTAAGGAGGAGGGATAAGCAAAGCAGGGAAACCCCTGGGATTGGATAAAAAGTAAAATGATGGACACATACTTAGGTGGGTACAGGAACAATTAACATGATGATGAAGGAATTTGCGGTATCTATCCTGGGACCCAGCACACCTGGTTGTGCCCCAGGGGCTCCAGATAAAGGGAAGTCACAAATACCCAGACATTTCAAGGGTATGTTATCATAGATGCAAAAAGACAGATAGGCTCAGTTAAGGTAAAGGTTGACCTTGTCAGTGAAGATACTGGCCCAGGACGTAACTGCCCACCCTAACTGCTTCTAGTTAAAGTTTAATTTCAGACCATCCTTTGTGGTTACTTTAGGTCTCCGAGTTTGCAAGACTGCCATGCAGGCCTCTCCTGAGCTTGTCAGGTTAGCATGTGGCCCCTTTCGCCCACAGGAGCTATGCTAAAACTTTATACACACGTTACGTTAATTTAATGTCACCCTCACAGCAACCTAGTGAGGAAGCGATGTCTATCTCCACTTTATAGTTGGGGAAACTGAGGCTGAGAGGGAGAAGTGGACCCAAAGTCTATACACCTTGTTAATGGCAGCGCCAGATAGGTTCTCTGGCAGGTCTGAGGTCTCAACCATTAGGCATACTGTCACTCCAAGCCAGGAAGTGCCTGGAAGGTCATTCCACATGATAGTGACAATAATAGTTAACACTCATCCTCATCCCCAAGATTCTATGCGGCATCTAGGATGGTGAAGTATAGTAACCTCCATCTTGGGTAAAAACTGCTGTTTAAAATTTTAACCCTGCTATTCTGGCTTCGTAAACATTTGCTTGCTTTAATAGGGAAAATAAGCCTGCTCCCCATTCCAGAGAGGCCATAAACTATGCCCCAGACAGAGCTGTCAGTGCTGGCGCCAGGCCAGGCCTTGAGAGATGGTCTCACGGCCCTGTCCCAGCACACAGGACCTTTTCTCAGAAGGTCCGGAAGTCTCATTCCAAATTTGGAAGACAAAGAGCTGAAAAACATATAAATTGAAAAGACTTCCACCATATCAGGCCCCAGAATTTGAGAAGCAAGAGACCCTCTGGACCCGCTAGCGCTAGCGAAAATGAACAGGACTCCAAATTAATTTGACTTATTGATTAAGGCGTCTTCGGATTTACAATATAACAGTGGTGGTGGATGTCGCAGCTACGGGGGTGCAGGGTGTGGCAATCCTGGTACTCTGGGGGCCGAGGACAAATCAATGGGCATGGTTAGGGTGGGCATTCTATGGCTGCTGACATCCATGGTGCTGACAAAAGTTCTATGGCTTCTATGGAAAACCTTGACCTTAAGGGAGAGAACCAAGATGGCGGCATAGGTAAACGCCTGTGCTTGCTGCCTCCCACGACCACATCAAAATTACAACTAAAATACAGAGCGACTATCATCCAGAACCACCAGAAAGCTGGCTGAGTGGAAGTCCTACAACCAGGGAAGTAAAGAAGAAAGCACACTGAGCCTGGTCTTTATGCCAAAACAATAAGGATGGCTGCTTCTTTATAAAACTCGGAGAACGGAATGGCCGAGTCACATGAGTTTAACTTATTGGAGAGCGAGGGTCTTCAGAACTCCCATCCTGTCCGGCTACAGCACTTACCACCGGAGTTGGTAAACTAAGGCCTGAGCCAAAAATGGTTGAAATAACTGAAAAAAGTTCAACAGAAGAATAATGTTTTGTTAAAATCACATAAAATTCTAATGCTGAGGACTGTAAATAAAGCTTTATTGTAACACGTAAAAAGGGGGGCGGGGGAGAAAACCTTGGCCCTAACCAGTTTGGCTCAGTGGATAGAGCATTGGCCTGCGGACTCAAGGGTCCCAGGTTTGATTCCGGTCAAGGGCATGTACCTTGGTTGCGGGCACATACCCAATAGGGAGTGTGCAGGAGGCAGCTGATGGATGTTTCTCTCTCATCAATGTTTCTAACTCTCTATCCCTCTCCCTTCCTCTCTGTAAAAAATCAATAAAATATATTAAAAAGAAAACCTTGACCTTAAAACAATTTCCCAGAGACTCATCAGCTCAATTTCAAAAGATTAAGAAATCCACTTCTTCCCACCTATAGTTTACAACAGATGAGCATCCACTGCTTATCACTAGAACACAGGAGTCAGCCTGTGTCCATCACACAGATTAGAGTTCCTGGGCATCTTAAATAACTGAGCGCTTAAATTGCAAATGTCAACTTCTCATTGTGGCTCCTCTTCTCAAGCTTATTTTTAAGTCTAATATCAACTATTTCTCCTGTATCCCATATCTTACAATGCTAACATTTTCACTAAAAAAAAAAATCTTAATCTTAATCTTCCTTTAAAAAAACAATAGTGGTTAACACTGTGCCAAGTACCTCACACATATGGACCCGTTTTACAGATGAGAAAGTTGAGGCCTGGAGAAGAGAATTACCTTATCCTGGGTCTCACAGAGGGAAATGGCTCAAACGCAGCGAGGTGTTCTCATCCAAGGAGCGAGGAGCCCTGCCCAGAGATCTGTTTGCTTCTGCCCTTGTGAGTTAGGACATCTCCTCCTCTGGGCTCTCTGGACCTTCACCCTGCCCTACTCTCTGGCCTCTCCAGGGACCAGAACTAACCCCCCTCCAAGCACCTCCACCCAGAAGCCCAAATGGTTCCCCCAGAAAACAGACAGAAGTCAGATTCACAGCAAAAATATATATTTTTTTTATTTTTTTATTTAAGAAGTTTGAGGGCAGGTGGGGGAGGGGAAGAGGAGAGAAGCTCCAGTGCTGGCACCTCTCCCCTCCCCCCACCTAGTGCATTTTTAATGGCTATGAGCACCCGACAGAGATAACGTCAGGAAGGGGGGGTCTGGACCCCACAGCGCATGTTAGCTGGAACAGCAACGTCTGAAAGGAAGAAACCAAGGGTGAAACCAAGGGGCCCCAGGAGGTGCCCTCCCCTCAAGCTTAAATGGGACCCAGAAATCCTAAGGGCCCTCTTCTTTGGAAAACTGGAGTTGTAGCCCTGAGCCTCCTCCGCCCTCAGACCCAGGAGTCCA